GTTATTGAAAAAACTAATGGAAATCCAACATATGATTCTATTAATAACATGCAATACTTAGATGCAGTGATCAATGAATCATTAAGACGATATCCAATTGCAGTTTTTCTCGACAGAATGGTAGTAGATGATTATGAATTACCACCTGCATTACCCGATGGCAAACCTTACTTATTGAAAAAAGATAAATATATTTGGATAACAGTTTACGGATTGCATCACGATCCGAATTATTTCGAGAACCCATTTAAATTCGATCCAGAAAGATTTTTGATAAAAGGAAAAGAGATAATCAATTCTGGTTATTATTTGCCTTTTGGAATGGGACCTAGAATGTGTATTGGTAATAGATTCGCATTATTGGAAATGAAAGTATTAATTTTTCATTTATTGGCACGTTGTAATTTGAAACCATGTACGAAAACACAAATTCCATTGAAATTGTCAAAAAAAGGATTATTCGGTATGACATCTGAAAAGGGTTTTTGGATGACTTTGGAAGAAAGGGATAATGTACATCCATCGTTACAAAATTATGTATTTGATAATGATACTTCTTCTGATGTTAAGCATAATAATATAAATAATGTATCAACTAATAATGTTAGTAATGATCATCATGCATAAATTTAAAATATAATAACGAATAATATTGTAATACTCATCTATTTTATCATTTTTATACAATAATAATTTGTTTTAATATTTATCATAAAATATTGATGAATAATATTACGTTGTCTGATGTTTTCCAATGAACAATTTCTCGTCAAATCAGTCATTAAATTGAATTATTTTTATAACAATCATGTAGAAGAAAAACAACAGAAACCAAAGGTCATTAGTCATTGTAATCTAACACAATACTTTAACATTTTTTACTAATAAAATACCTAAACCTAATAATTAAGACATTATGATAGAACGTAAATATTATCAATAACAAAGGTGTTTTAATTTTTTTTCTTCATTCGAGCTGTTTACGTCGGTAGAATTATTTTATTATGCAGATAAAACGGAAATAGCGGTAGAAGAAAGTAAAGATCAATTCGTTTTAACTTCTCGTCGAAGTAACACCTTTGCGAATATCTCCTGTTAAAATTGAACAAATTATTTTGATATTCAATATGAATACGTGGACAATAATTTTGACTTTGGTGATAGTGATACTGAGCCTATATTATTACGTTAAATATATTTCTAATTATTTCGAGAGAATTAATTTACCATATTTAAAACCAGTGCCATTTTTGGGTAGTTTAGGACCAGCCATATTACGTCAGAAAACATTGGCCGAAATAGCTGTCGATGCTTACAACGTAACTCCTAAGGAAGCAAAATATATTGGTTTTTTCATTATGATGAAACCAATGATTATGATACGTGATCCGGAATTGATAAAAACGATCACCGTGAAAAGTTTCGATCATTTTCCAAATCATCGTGGTTTTGCCGATGAAGGATTAGATATTTTATTTAAAAAAAATTTATTTGCATTGAAAGATGACAAATGGAAGGAAGCTAGAACGATGTTAAGTCCAACATTTACATTGAGCAAATTAAAGGGTATGTTTAAATTGATGAACGAATGTGCCATTGATTTTACCAATTATTTATCCAAAATGCCAACAAGTGAAAAAACATTAGAAATGAAGAATATATTTACGAGATATACGAATGACGTAATAGCAGCATGTGCATTTGGCATAACCATTAATTCAATGAAAGATCCGGAAAATGATTTTTACGTTAATGGTAAAAAAGCAACGAATTTCGATGGTTTTAAATCAATCGTATTTTTTTTTATTCACAATTTTCCATGGTTAGCAAATAAGTTGAAACTCAAACTTGTACCGATTGATTTAGAAAATTATTTTATAAACGTTATAACAGACATTATCAATACTAGAAAACAACGTAATATCGTTAGAAATGATATGATACAAATAATGATGGAAGCTAAAGAGAAAAAAGCTGAAATTGGTGAAGAATTAACTATCATAGATATAGCATCACAAGCATTCAGTTTTTTCTTTGGTGGTTTTGACTCAATAAGTTCGGCTATGTGTTTCACATGTCACGAGATTGGTGTCAATCCTGATATACAAAAAAGATTACAAGATGAAATAGACGATGTTATTGAAAAAACTAATGGAAATCCAACATATGATTCTATTAATAACATGCAATACTTAGATGCAGTGATCAATGAATCATTAAGACGATATCCGATTGCAGTTTTTCTTGACAGAATGGTAGCAAATGATTATGAATTACCACCTGCATTACCAGATGGTAAACCTTACTTATTTAAAAAAGATAAATTTATTTTGATAGTAGTTTATGGTTTACATCACGATGCAAATTATTTCGAAAACCCATTTAAATTCAATCCAGAAAGATTTTTAAAAAATGGCAAAGAAATAATCAATTCTGGTTATTATTTGCCCTTCGGAATGGGCCCTAGAATATGTATTGGTAATAGATTTTCATTATTAAAAATAAAAGTATTAATTTTTCATTTATTGGCACGATGTAATTTAAAACCGTGCAGTAAAACACAAATTCCAATGAAATTGTCAAAAAAAGGATTATTCAGTATGACATCTGAAAAGGGTTTTTGGATGACTTTGGAAGAAAGGGATAATGTACATTTTACTTTACAAAATTATGTATTTGATAATAGTACTTCTGATTTTAAGAATAATAATACAAATAATGTATCAACTAATAATGTTAGTAATGATTAGAATGCAAAAGTATAATTATGTTAAATTATAATAACGAATAATATTGTGTGACATTAATTTTATCATTTTTATACAATCATACTTTGTTTGAATAACTATTATAAAATATTGATGAATAATATTACGTATCTAATGTTACCCAAATAAACAATTTCTTGTCAAACCAGTTTTTAATTTGAATTATTTTGTAAAACAATCATTTAATAAAACATACATTCTACATTTTATTTTTATTTATATCAAATATTAACGCATAAAAAATCGATACTCTTATAATAATTGTTTGAATTTATGCTGTCAAAAAAAAAAAAAAAAAACTGAACGATTAACTTCATACATTATGATGTAACGTAAATATAATCTATCGCAATGACTTTTTCTTTTTCTATCATTCGAGTTGATTACGTAAGAAGAACTAATTTATCATATGAGTTAAACTGAAATACCGGATTACGAAAGAAAACATCAGTTCGGTTTAAGTTCTCGTCGAAGTAACATCTCCGCGCACACATCTCCTGTTAAAATTGAATAAATTATTTTAATATTCAAGATGGATACGTGGACAATAATTTTAACCTTCGTGATAGTGATACTAAGCATATATTATTACTTGAAATATACTTATAATTATTTCGAGAGATACAATTTACCATATTTAAAACCAATGCCATTTTTGGGTAATTTAGGACCAGCCATATTACGACAAAAATCATTGGCCGAAATAGCTATCGATGCTTATAATGTAAAACCTAAAGAAGCAAAATACATTGGTTTTTTTGATATGCTGAATGCAACGTTAATGATACGAGATCCGGAATTGATAAAAACGATCACCGTGAAAAGTTTCGATCATTTTCCAAATCATCGTGGTTTAGCCGACGGTGGATTAGATATTTTATTTCGAAGAAATTTATTTTCATTGAAAGATGACAAATGGAAGGAAGCTAGAACGATGTTAAGTCCAACATTTACATTGAGCAAAATGAAGGGTATGTTTAAATTGATGAACGAATGTGCCATTGATTTTACCGATTATTTATCCAAAATGCCAACGAGTGAAAAAACATTAGAAATGAAGGACGTATTTACGAGATTTACGAATGACGTAATAGCAACATGCGCATTTGGAATAAGTATTAATTCGATGAAAGATCCTAACAATGATTTTTACATTAATGGTAGAAAAGCAACGAATTTCGATGGTTTTAAATCAATCGT